TCCCTGTTTTCAGTTCCTTTTGAGTTCATTAGTTTCACCTGTGCCCTGTTTCCTTGGTTTTGTTAATTAGCATCACCTGTCCTGTGTTAGTCTCATTACCCCTTAGTATTTTAGTTCCTGCCTCTGTTCAGTTCCCCAGTGGTTCATTGTCTGTGTTGTAATGGTTTTCAGTGTTCAATGTGTATTCGGGTTTTGTTATTTAGTTTTGTTAATTAATCCCTCTTTAGTTTTTGACCCCTCGTGGTCCTTTGTTTTTGGTTAGTCGTTTGTAGTGTTTTCTGTTTTCTTTAATAAACCCCTTTTCTGTTCCTGGAGCCGCAAGTGGGTCGTCCGCCCTATTTGTGCACCATGCCTCGTTCCCGTGCCCAAGCCGCCCGCCTACATGACATTATGCAATTTATCTGGCCACAAATCAGCAAGCAATATTGACAAATAAGTGACTTTATCTTGCCCACTATTTGAATGGGGGGAAAAAAAAGGTTAAACTATAAAGCCATTTATCTTGTGCCCCTGGAGCACTTTGTGATACTTGTCTTAATGTAATTAGGTTCACCAAACCCGCGCTTCTTCTTTCATGTACCGCCATTGATTAGACTGGACTGGTCTATGGCAAAGTGACACGATTAAATTCCCCCATGATAAATTTCACTGAGTGAAAATACTGCAGTCTAAAGAAAATATTATTGCAGGCCTACCTTACACACTCTCCCCACCTCTCCAAAACAAAAAGTGATATGACTGATTTCCTCACAGTACATTTCACCGACCAGCTACTAGACTGCTACGCATAAAATTTGCCAAAGAAGGAGGCTAGCAATGAGAAATTTATATAAACTTTATTACACAATAGTGACAAAACTGCCCCTTTTTGCTATCACTATGCAGCACTGCTTCAGTTCTGGGGTGATCTATCTCAAATTGAATAATTTCCAGTTCATCACCCATACAATGCTTCTGCAAAGTTTGTAAAAGATCCATCAAGCTGTTTTTGACAAGCAACGTGTCTGCAGTATCCTTATGAGATGCCCAGTGCACCTCAGCTGACTCCTTGATCTGAATGAGCAGTGGCTATACTTTGAGGTCCAATCTCCAAAATGTACTGTATCACTCTATAATGCAGAGTGAGCCTGGCAACACTAGGAAGAATCCTCATTTTGGCTCACAACCTCTTCTTCTGGTCATGACCCACATCGCATGACCATAAGTGAGGAAAGGACTACAGATGGAATGGGAAACCACACCTTGATGACTTACTGTAGTTCCCATTTCCCCACCTGGTATTTGCTTGTCAGTAAGAGGTTTCCTACAGTAGTTCTATCACTCATGAAAAAGATCCAACACTAAAGGTGGCCGTATACACAATTTCCAGACAGATCAAAATCAAACACATCAGCGAGAAACATCTGTCACATAGTTCAAACAACGCTACCTTGTTTTTTCTATGTACTGTATGTCAAGCCATGACCTTAGAGGGTATAGAATGTTTTTGATGCAGCAGACCTACATACAGACTACAAATTAATGTATTGTGGTGAGCAGGCAATTCATTTTAATGAAGCAGATGACAGCTCTTTATTAACAACCACTACTGGTTTAACCTTTATAAGTTAACCTTTATAAGTTTTTAGCTTAAGAAAAATTATAGAAATAATTATTTTTTCAAGCTGAGATTCATTGGCCTTGGCTCATTTTCGGTGAGCAACATAAATCAGAAAACATTCACATTGACCTCCCCCCATGTCCCCCCCCTTCACATTTGTATTACATACAGGGTCTTCGGGTCCACTGAACCCGGGGCTAGTGAAAGTATGGAAATCATAGGTCCTGTGTACCCTCATTTTCCCTTCATCCTCTCTGGGTCTGTGTGTGTGTGTGTGAGAGAGAGAGGGAGAAGGAGAAGGAGAAAGTAAAGCAGGTGAATGGACCCAGGTGTGAGCCACCAGTGCTGTTCCCGCACAAGGTTGCAACATTGGCCTCTGGTGATATTTTTTGACGTGTTGGATATCTCTGCGTCATTTTGATGTCACTGAGCCCAGAGTGGAATAGGGGAAAGCTGCAGAAGAGGGGTCTCTTTCTTGAGGAAATGGGGAAAACACTGGTGAGACCTCAAATTGGAAGAAGGTGACATCTTCCAAGAACCCCAGTCTCTGCAGCTATTGTGAGGAGGATTCAGGAGGAAGATGATGGTGCCACATCCCGCCAAATGACAGAACCATCATCTGCAGACCCTGGGGTAAGTGTTTGATGCTGGTGCAGTATAATAATTTATGTTTCTGAGAAAGAGGAGTAAAGTGTTAGTAAAGATCCTTATCTTTTCACATAGATTGTGGCCGGCAACAAAAAGAAGCGCTGTGATGTGTGTGGAACCAAGATGGACAGAAAAACATAATATACATGCACCCAGTGCAAGAAGTACATTTGCAATACACACACATTGAAACTCTGCCCCTCATGTGTGGTTTAGTCTGGCATGAAAATAGCCATGTTCAATAGCACTAATGTGTTGTTCAGACAGATGTTGTGTAAACTAACCAGAGTAGGTAAAATTTCTAATGAAATTCAAATAAATAATACACTATAGTTTTGGAAAAACTTGCTTCATTTGTACATTTGTTCATTATTTTCCAGTTATGCCTGTTTTATGGTGTATTTCCTTATTTTGTAATATTTTAATTTAAAAAAAATGAGTTGCATTTCTATTCATAAATGTGATTTAACAAAGGTAAAGGGAACAAAAGTAACATGTTTTGTTTATATTACTTGCAAATGGGATGAAGTAAACATCTGCTGAGAATTTTAACAAAAAAGTTTTGAATATGTTGAATTAAAAGCCCCAAAATGCAATGGGTCCACCAGACCCAGCAGGACTCCCTAGCTGTGTAACCAAAAAATGAGGACCCTAACAGGGTTAATACCAGCAGTGGCACAGACAGGGAAGCCAACAATTTACATGACAGTCTCACACTAACAAAACACATGCATCCCCCAGCAAATGTTACACACTCCCAACATTTACTATTAACATAAATACACAAATATACATATTAATTTACACAATTTACAGATACACACGGTGTGTGCCAAGCATGCTAATAACTGCATAATTAGTCCTGCTGACTAACTCAACAGTGTTACATTAAACCAGCCAATTGTGGACAGCGGGTGAGATCAGAACAAGTGAAAATATTCTCCTTGGAGGCCTTACGCTGGCAGTGGGTCACCATGATGAGCACTGCTCATACACTTTTGTTTGAAATATGTGAAGACTCTGACCCCTGGCTTTAATGGAGCAGTCCTCATCTCTGAGAGTGTGATCTACATCTATGTTGTGCTGAACAAAAGCATGAATATGAGTAGTCCAAGACCTAGAGCTTTCCTGATCAGGAAAGGATGCCTCTGTAATTCTTTTAATGGTTAATGTTAAATTGGCATGTTTAATGTATATGTTACAGCTATACAAAGTGAAATTAGTGGACAGTAAGCCTACAAAAATATCTGATCATAATTTACCAGCACAAGTAGAACATCAAGTTTACAAAGATGCCCGACAGAGATCAATATCAAAGAGGAAAGAGTAGGAAGAAATGTAGGAAGGACAGGAAGCAGGACGTGCATCAGAGAAAGGTCAAAAGCAGAGCAGAAGATAAAACACACTATCTCATTCACCATCTCATTTCTGATGAACTCAAGAACTTGTGAGGGAAAAACACTCAGACCAGTGATCTTGCTATCTGAAGGACAAGATATCCAGTCCCTGGGTCGGCAGCTTTGAGGTAGTTAAAACTTGTAGCTTTTAGCCTTATTTAATTCTATATTGAAAATTAGACTGGGCTTGCCTATAAGAACATAAGAAATTTACAAACAAGAGGAGGCCATTCGGCCCATAAGAACAGAAGTATATGCTTAGCCATCTTCGAAAGTGTAATTTGTCTGTGAGGTTTTGCATTTTAGTTAATGTTTAGTGTCTATATTATCATGTAAGCAAATTTTTTGACCATCTACAAAAAAGGACATGCACAAGGTGTTACACTAAATATCAAGGAGGTTCTTTTGTATCATATTTACACCATATGGGGATCACATCTATCTCCATTTCACTGCATTTCACAGGTTTTCATTGGTGAGTTGCCATTTGTTTCTTATATTCAGTTTTTCTTACCATGTGTATGCTGGATTTGTTCAACCAGATGGATACTTAATGTGGCAATAATGGGTTAAATGAAAATAAAAATAAGGTGATAATCTGATGCCACTAATCCTCTGAGTACAGTGGGGCAAACATAAATGAAAATGCATGCCATTATCTGCACACCAGAGTTACCAATTAGCAGTAAACTTCAATTGTTAATATGTAATCATACACATTGAAGAATGTGTAAATCCTAGATATATCTTTTATTATTTCAAGAGAGACAAATTTCATGTATTTTGTTGTCTTTGATGCAAGTATATTTGAAGTATACTATGCATGAATTTAAGATAAGAAACACACCTGTTTCTCTGGACTTCTCTGGCCATGTAGCAAGGTCTACTGCTTGTATGGGCATTTGTGACTGACTTAGTGGGTTAAAGTTTTTTGCCCAGTTGCTTATAGCTGCATACTTGTCTTTGGTGTGCAGTTCAGTAGTTAGCAAATAATTCCCCAAAGTATGGGCCCCATCTTATTGATAATGTTGATACTTTATTTCATTAGCATAACTATATTGGAATTCTTTAGTCTTTGTATATCCAATTTTGCTCTGTTATGAGATATATGTACAATAAAAGAGCAAAGCTTGGAATCAAAACACATAGCCATTTTCCAGCACCCCTGGAGCAGTTTTTGGGGTTAAAGACCTTGTTCAAATGGCTCAACAGTGATCTGGTTTCCATTCATAGGACTGGAAAAGTTATCTTCCAAACAGGCATTGTATTTTAGTTGTTTAGATAGGAACAAGTTTTCTTAAGTCTTGTTGCACTGGCACCTTTAAAAAGTGTTACTCCGCCCCCCTTTTGGAAGTGAGTCGCGGGCATTTTCTCTAGAGTTTGGGTTTCACGCATCGGCTGCTGTTCTTCCTATTTAAGATCATCAGCAGGACTTGTGTGCATCCATAAGATAAAGTAAGTTGCAGTTATTGATTCTGAGTGAGGTTTGATGGTGTTTAAAATATTTAAAGTGCGCACATGTTGTTTAGGTTAATGTTTCGCAGTAAAGATGTTAGCAGCAAATGCTAAGTGCTGCAGGATCGCTTATTAACTTATGTTGTAATGTTTATGCTGGAGAATCCACGAGTAATGTTGCTCATGTGAGGTTGAGATATTACTGAAATGTCTGTCTGTAGAACCTTAAGTTAAATGCCAATTTTGTGTGTTTAGCTTAGCCATCTATATGCATATTTCACTTAATGATAATTATAATAATTTAATTATAAGTATAATAATTTAGATGTGACACCAAGAACGGCACGTTGCGATGTTTATTTAGAATTACAGATTCCTCCTTATTTGATGGATTGTTTAAGTACATCTTCCTTCTTTATTTTTTTGTAAGGTCTCGTCCATGTGGACGTTCGTTCCTGCGTTTTGTAGCTGTATTCGATTGGCGTTTCACTGGTGTTCACTTGATGCTGTTTAACACCAGCCTGACGCCTAGTCTGCAGTTTCGTGTATTTACCTGTGGGGGCAGTAATTACTCTGTCCAGAGTGTTTACACGTGGATCATCTTAGTTTATAGTTCTGCATTGAAAACATGGATCCCTATTCTTTATTAAAACTTACATTCGACATTCTTGTTTTAAAAATCCTCCTGATACGGCGCCGTAGGCAGGAGAGGAACAAACATCGCCGCCGCTACTGGGTTCATCCTCTTACTGCGCAACGTCAGATCAAAGGGACGTTTTTTGTGCTTTTTGGGCTGGATCAATGTCCGACATTTTCCGTAAAATGTGGTTTTTTGCAGTTGCCATACAGAATCATGGGACATATTCGGTCCTCCAGAACGGCAAACGAACGGCATGTAAACGCAATAGCGTCGTTTTCCTTGCATTCGTCGGGATCTTGACGCCAAGAAAACGTTGCATGCAGCATTTATTTGATGCCACCTGAACGCGTAGCCGGCCGAATGCCGGTGCTGAACGCCCATGTGGACGCTTTGATTTGCTTCAATGAGCAGAAAAACGGTTGGCGTTCAGTCGATGCTCACCTGGCGCCACGAATGCCAGAAAAACACCTGGTACAGACTAGTGGTTGAACGACTTTAGATTTTTTAAAGTCGACTTTTATGTGATTGAAGTCCAGTCGACGTCGACTAGTCGCTGGTGACGTCATCATTAAAACGATGCAAAAGTTTTGCAACATGCCACAATTTGTAATTTATTGACAGGAACAAAATATACAAATGCTGTTAGACAGCTCATAACACATTGCAAAAACAATGCAACAGCACTGGCTAATTTTAGTGCCAACAAATGCACAGTCAACACAATAAACACTGCACTTACTAAAAATATAAAAACGACAAATATTTTATGCAAAAGTAATGCATACCGTCGTCAGAACAGAACACTAATTCATATGAAGTGATTTCATAACTCTCGAACGAGAAAGGCTATAAGCCTACTCACTGTCAGAGTCCTGCTCAGTCACATAATTTACTTTTTTATCCTGGTTTGCGTGCAAGAAAATGAGGGCGTTGACATGGGCTGGAT